GGGACGGCTTGAAAAGTTTCTCAGATGCTCGGAGTGACTCCCGGTGCCTCAGATTGACCAGAATCCACCCAGCTTCGTCAGACACAATGAATTCACAATTTTCCCCTACTTCTCGCCTTCAGATTTCCAGTGTGACCAAGGGATGGTTTTTCAAGAATGTCGTGACCATGCTGATGACTACTGTGAAGCAGGGTGAGTGTGTGGAAGGTCTCTTTGATGGTTAAAGGTACAGTAGGGAGGTTCTTCTCACTGTCAGTGTCCTTCTCAGGGAACGTGTACCAGGACTTTCCTTTGGCCTTGACCAAGCTGGGTGCTTCTGCCCGGAAGGAATGTTCCTGGCAGAAAAATACAAAGATATATGTGTCACGAATTGTCCAAGTAAGCTGTGTGTCTGCCCGTCTCATCATTGTGATGTATTTCCATTTCAGATGTGTTTAATTTGTTTGGAAATGACTCTTCACAGTAAATGGTGAAGATGATGATGTCAAAGTATCTGAGAATGAACCTATTAACCAGGCAAAAAATGTTATGCACTCTAAATAGGGCCCATGGGCTCTGTGTCAGTCTCATACCTTATCTATTTAACTTACCTTGACTTGTTCATTCTGTCCTCAGGTTGCAAGGGTCCGCTTGGAGTTCCTAAGCAGGTGAGATTTGCTCTTTCTGATTCTTACTGTACAAGCTAAGATGAATTTCACCAAAGTGCCGACTGAGACAATAATGCCTGTTTCCATGCCTGTTTTTAATCGGTGTTCACTTGGCGCCAGCAAATGTGTTGCAAACGCCTGTCAGATATCTAGCAGGTTAAATATTCAGACCTGTCGCAATCTCCAAATCCAGTAGAGTGAAAGGTGTTGTGACTGGCAATGCCAATGAACGCATAGTGGTGAGCTGAAACTTGAGGGAGGAACTTTAAAAAGGTGTAAATAGTTCAGTAACCCATGCTTAAATTGGTGTTTAGAAATCGAATTTAAAGTCACACGGCGATATTAAAATCGCCACCTTGAAGAATCGCGATTTGTAACAGAATCGATTTTCCCCCACCCATAGCAAACAGCTTTGAAGAAATAACCCTGGGTGTCTGGTACAGTGTGTATTTCTCTGCTGGGTGTCTGGTACAGTGTGTATTTCTCTGCTNCTGGGTGTCTGGTACAGTGTGTATTTCTCTGCTGGGTGTCTGGTACAGTGTGTATTTCTCTGCTATTTTTTACTTTGTTCTCTGTGTTGCCAAGGGCAACTCAGCTTTCACTGTCTGAGTTGCCTCTCGATCAATTTCTAGGAATGTCACTTTTATAACACAGAACCCATCCATCACCTTGACCAATTTTTTTTCAAGTACTACCATTGGCGTGATTTCACAGAGTTCCTCTGGCCAGGAAGATTACATGTAGAAAGTTGTTTATTCCCTCAGTCATTGGCTTCTCAAATGCTTCAAAATAAGTATTCTTATTGACTTTGTGATATTTAATTTTTTTTTACTCTATGGTTGTGTTATGCATAAGCTGAGATATTTGTTTCATTGTAAGACATTAAAGTTTTCTTAAGTTCTTGAACTGATGAATGGTCTCCCCCCAGCCTGGTGACACCTGGGAGTCGGATTGCCACAAATGCACTTGTAGTCAAATCACCAAGACCGAGGAGTGTGAGCCCCTGCCCCCTCCTCCCCCTGTCACCTGCACAGACGACCAGGTGGCCATCACCAGTAGCCAGGGATGCTGGAATAAAACCGAGTGTGGTAATGTATCCACAAAAAAAGTGACTCTTTAAAGGGGCCCTGTCGTGCTTTCCTGGTTTTTCCTTTTCCTTTAGTCTGTTATACAGCTATATGTGCATATAAACGATCTGCAAAGGCCCAAAGTACATGCCAAAGGGAGTAGCTCTCACCATAGAAACCACTCTTCTCTAATCTGCCTGAAACGCCTCATTGGAATTCCAGCCCTTACATCTGTGACATGGTGAGGTCACCTTGTAGCAAAATCCCTATTAGCCATATACCTGCAACGATCTGTCTGCAGACTGCAAGATGGGTGGGACATGTATGGTAAGCTGACCAATCAGAGCACACTTGGGTCATTGGAGGTGGGGCTTAAAGCTGTAACAGAGCATTTCAGACAGAGTTATGGACAGTGAATAGAGATGTAAAGTATGAGGAAAATAATGTGTTTTTGGCACATTGAAGCATATAAATCTATTCTAGTACATTCCAGAAATGAAATTATAAGCAGTGAAAATTAGCATAATAGGGCCGCTTTAATAACATGGCATGTTGGGGCTAAATTGAATGATATTAGTATTTATTTGAAATATTATTGCACAAATTCTTGTCAAATTATGTATAGGATTTATCTGTCAAGTTACCCGAACCCATGCAAATACCTACATGTAGTGATGCATTCCAGTCCCTGCACCTACGATTCTGCCTGTAGGGAAGTAGGGTCATGGGTAAACGGAAGCAAAGCAGGAAGTAAACCTTGTGGCGTGTCAGCGGATCACGTGGTTTTCATCAGCTTCAGATTAGCTGCCATTCCTCAGTGTGCGGTAATTTTGATGGAATTAGAAATCGGACGTGTTTGTTTTCTTTGATGTAATGCATGGTGATCGTCCAATAAACAAAACATCTAATGAAAGACCAACTAAAGCCAGCTGACACACAGCTGATTCCTCCAGTATGAAAGACGCCAAGAATGACAGAATGCAGTGTATGGCTTGGAGTGTAATATTTCTTGTTTTATTCCACAGTTCACAGGACCTGTCAGCAAAATGGAAAAGTGTATCAGGTATTTAGAAAGTGATTTATGAAAGTAGCCGGAGACTGAATTGGAAAGAGTAAACATGTCAGTAATTATGATAGATATGGGTTTAGTAGAGATTATAACCAGAAATATTGACTTTTTACACGGCATTCCTGCATCAGGTATGTGATCAAGTCTCTGTCTCGCTGGTGTAGGTCGGTCAGAGTTGGAACGACCCTCAAAAGCCATGTGTAACTTACGTCTGTGAGAAGGAAGGAATAAATACCAAAACAATGGTTTGTCCAGGAGCTGTGACCTGTGCAGAGGTAACTCTCCACTGCATTTGCTCATAACATGCCCTGTCCCCTGTTGCAGGTCATATGACACTTATCATACTTTCACCGTGAGAAGTGTCCACCTTGTTGTTCTCTTCTGCACTTGTAATTCTTTCTGTTGTGTTTGTTTTCAGGAGTTCAGGATTTGGGACGCACAGCACTGCTGCTACAATTGTAAGAGGAATCTTTAAAATATGATGGGCATATTGTTTTTCTGAATAAGACAGGAAACAAGTTAACCAGTGATACATTTGATGGCGGAAATTCCACCAATTTTTCAGCTATTTCAGGGCTGACTGGTGGCTTTTAATCTTATAACTAGAGTCAGCTAAGTCTTAAGTGTAATATACATCAGGAAATTCATCAAACTCCTATCCAGCAATTGATGGACTTTGTATGAGTTAATCAAGATCTCAATTTTTTACACATTTTTTTACATAACTGCAAGATTATTCCATAGGTGTGTTCTTATGCTTAAAAAAAATCGTCTTATCAAACACATCATAGTGCAGCGGTCACTAACAGGCGGACCGCGGTCCGGGTCCGGACCCAGAAGCTGTCCCATACCGACCCGGACCGACAGCCAAAACATTTAGTTATTATTTCAAAACTGACGGGGCGCTTTTATTTTAACCGGCGCAGCGTTTGTAGTCTTTTCGGTAGTGGTTTAGCAGTAGAACCTGAAATCGTAAAGCTGAAAAGTTTTGAAATACAATATGTATTATATAACACGTTGGATAAATAGACGTAGTTTATTGTTGATTGCATATTCGTTGAAGTTTCTGCATTTTAACATATGTATAAAGTAATGTTACCTGTTATATAAATAAACTCATGTGAAACAAAAAATGTACGTTTTCAGGGTTGCCAAATCTCAAGCATCTGGCGTAACACGCTTTCAGACTCATGCTGGAAATCTTACGGCAAATCTATATTATTCCATTATAAAACCTAAAATTAGCTACGTCAAATGTGTATTTACACGGTTAAATACAAAAGCAGACTATTTACAAAGGTAAGAACTGTTATATGTGTGCAGACATCTCGAATTGACCATCTCACTTCAGTCAGCTGGCCAAAGTTCTATGTCACGTGACAATAAATAATGTCAAAGCGTTTTTGAATTGTACTGAATTAATTTGATTTGACAGTCAGGTACTGATTACGTACAACGTTGATGCAACTAATAGGCTACTTAAATATATATCACACTATTAAATAGTTAGACATTATGATCTTCTGGACCTTTGCTTCAAGATTTTTTCTCTAACTGGACCTCTTTAAATTTTAGTTGAATACCCCTGTCATAGTGTGTCCCCATTAAAGTCTTGTAAGAAACCAATGAGTTGTGGCGGCCTCTAGTGGTGATATAGTTGAATTTCAGAATAAAATATGTTGATCATGTAATTTGTTTATTGCAGGCAGCAACATGTGCTCTGTGACGACGTCACCCACTGTACTATCATATGGAGGCTGCACCGCAACAGTACAGATCCCCACGTGCCAGGGCCAGTGTCAGTCATCTTCAATGTAAGTCTGAGTCCAATTTGCTGTGTCTTCACAGTATTAACTGTAAATTGTACATGGTGAAAAATCCAGCCTAGTCTACTGATCTGATTAAAGATGTACAGAGAGGTGGGTAGCCTGATAATCCTGTAATTGTATCAGTGATATAAAGATGCTTTTAAATGTTTTGCTTTCTGTTAGCTTAGTTTTAATTCATACCTTTATTGATTGTACTATTAGGACAAAACAAGATCCTTGAGTTGTTATATGGCAGCATATACTTAATTAACTAATTTATTTGCCATTTTAGGCCAGTATCCAAATCCTACATTAAAGCCATCATTTACAAACACAAGCTGATCTCTGCTAGGGCTGTGGCTTCTGATCATCTGCTTACCCACGGCTTTGCCAGCCCACCCATCACCAACTTTTAGTCACCTTGGGGTGGGCAGTGTATCGAATTTTCAATGAGCTATAGAATATTACCGTTTATATCCATGTCCTTTTAACTGCATGTTACAATTAGTGTTAAATGATTTTGCTGCCATATAACACCTTGCTGTGTATCTGTATAGAATAGATAGTGTATAGATGTGTATCTGTACCATGCAGATGATCCTGCACTTCAAAGCACCTACAAACCAATCACATCTCACAATTTGAGCAATACTGCCCACCTGCTCCAGGGGGCGCTCTCTTGTAGCACCTTTACCCGCTGGCTCTTTCCAACATGCTGTGCTAAGAAACACTACTGAGGGATCCATCCCTCCCCGCTACCATCACTACAGCGCCTCCTCCTGGCGTGCCAACCCCATAACTCATGCCGGGACAAAATCTCATTGCTGAGATAGTAAAAGTCTGCTGCTTTTTAATTGGATGTAGACCACCATTTATTTATTTATTCACAACATTATATTCATTTTTTTTTTAACTAGCTTGCATGATGTATTATTGTCTTTGTAGTTTGTCTTTGATTTGCATTTTATGTTCCTGGTTGCTGTATGCTGTATGTAGGAAAATTTCCCTCTGGAAAAAATGAAGTTTGTCTTATCTGATCTTATCTGATCCTGTTTCAGGTGGTCATATTCAAATGGTGTTTTCAAAATGGGTGGGACCTGTGGCTGCTGCCAGGAAAAGAGCTCTGAAAAGCGGCAAATACAACTGACCTGCAGTGGCAACAAAATGCAGACCTACGCATACATGCACATCACGGCCTGCCAGTGCAAAATCTGCAAGGGGGACGACTGAAGCCGTCGGGTTCAGCAATGACCCGGGCGAACGGCCCAGCGTCCTTTCAGACACCTTCGGTCACCATGGAAATCTGAATGTCTTCATAACCTCCTCAAATGTCACTTTCATAAACAAGACATTATCCCCAGAATAATCATGATTTAGTTATGGTTTCCAGCTATATCTAATACAGGAAATCAGTTTAGCATAATTAAGTGGTAAAATAAATTAACATATTGGTGTATTGGTGATGGAACCGTAATATCATGCTGTGTCTTTTGAAATTTGAAATAAACCATCTCTGCATCTATTTTCCTGTTTCTGTGTTTGTCAGTCTTGATGTTCAGCAGTACGTGTAGAACTAGACCCTCCGTGCCAGTTTGTCTTTGGTCTTTATTGTCACGGTCAAAGATCTCAGGGCACATGTTAGCTCTCCAAACCGCCGGAAGTCAGGACACGGGGCAGTCAGCATCATATCTGATCTTTAATCTCACAAGGCAGATTCTGCGCTTTTAGCAGGTCAGTGGAAAAAGATATTTATTGAAGCATCAAACTTGTTTACAACGACAGCACATGAGTAAACAAAACAATCACCCGACGAAAAGCAACTTCTCTGTACTGCAAGGTACTAAGATAAATGTAACCTATTAACAGAGCCCCGTATAAATATACGAGTGTTTCTCACTGTCACGGCGGCTGGGCATAGTGCAGGCAGAAATGAGGGATGATTCACTGGTGGCTCTGAGACAACAAGGGTTTATTGAATACAACTATATAAAAAACACAATGGGGAAATGAACCAAAACAAAGCAAAAAATAAAAATCACAAGGCGTCAGAAAAGAAAAAGGGATTAACAACAAAAAAAACAGAATAAACACAACTAAGCAAAACAGTGAACAAGACTGGGCAATTGAGCAGGATAACAAACATGCAGTAACATTTATAATGATTCACCAAGGAACATCAGAGGCAGACACTTAAATACATACTGTAGGAACACCAGGGCAAACAAGGAACAGGTGCGAAGTATAATCAAATTAAATAAAAAAGCACTCAGGATAACGAGGAACAGGTGGAGCAGATTACACTAGAGCATGAAGCTAAGGAAGCTTAACATACGACGAAACTAGGGGGCATAAAACAAAGGGCTGAGAAAACTACACAAAATCCAAAATCAAACAGGACACAAGCAGGACAGCAAAATAACTGCAACACACACTAGGAACAACAAACCCCCCCCAAAAATAAACAAAACAGGTGAGGCTTGAAGCCATAACTGGAAAGTTAAAGCTGCTGTACTGCAGAATCAACCCCCTGGGACATGCAGGAAGCCAGGGAATAGGAGAACACACAAGGGTTAAACAGGGAATGAAAAGCGTCCAAGTCCAGTCCCTGGATGTGGAAAAGACCATCGACAGGCATGAGTTCCTGAAATCTGGCTTTGCTAAAACTCGGAGCTGGTCCACGGTTTGGAACATGGATTGAAATAATTTACAAGAACCCCAAGGATACCATTATAACAATGGTGTCATATCACTATCAGATGTCCCTCTGTCCCCGCTATTATTCACACTGGCTTTGGGGACATTAGCGGCTGCCATTAGGCCAGACCATAAAATCCTGGAATTAAACAGTAGTGGGAAAGAACAAAAATGAATGCTTTAGGCTGACGACATCCGACGGCCGCCCACCCATTAAATACGTTACCACTATTAATTCAAGCATATTTTTACTAGACAGGATATAAAATCAAATTGAGTGAATCTGAGGCTATGCCAGTGTCAAAACTGTGTCATTCAAATGTAGTAATATGCCATTAGAGAATGGAAAACTGGTGACCAAGCAAAACTTTCTATGGAGCGTGACGTTCCCCACGAGTGTTTGCGGTAGAGATATGGGTGTAGCTGTATGCGACTGCAGCTGTGGTTTCTTGCCAAATTGCACATCTCGCACATCTCTCTGACCGCGCCGTTTATAGCAAACAGCAACCGGCACTCGCGCAGCAGCAAAACACACACGCAGACGCACACCACTCTCTCAGCCTTCCAAGAAATGCTGTGATGGCGATAAGCTGCTGATCCAACAACAACGACAAAAAAAATAACTCTTTTGGCAAGAATTTAGTTTTAGTCTTAGTCATTTACTGAAAATTGTAGTTGGATTAAAGTCACGTTTTAGTCTTTCGTTTTGTTTTAGTTGATATTCGGTCAGTGGAACTCAGGTTTAATTTTAGTTAGAATTTTCTTCTTCATGATATTGAAATGGTTTTTCCTGAAGGATATTTCCCTTGGGAAGTAAGCATACGTAGTCTGAGAATGTGTTACTGACTTACCATGCTTCTTTTGTAAATAAAAATGAATGCCTAAAATTTGTTAGAAAAATACAATGAAATTTCCTTCACAGGTCGTATTTATTTTCTGCATACATCAACAACACATACTTACACTTTTCCCTGTTTCATTTTTATTATTAGGGCATTAAAACACCCCTCAAATTTAACTGCATGCCCAATTTATACTGTAATAATGTTTGTTACTAAAGCATCAAAACACAGATGAAACATCCATTTAACTGTGTGCAATAAGTGTCATGTGAAGGGTTAATCATTTAAGAATGCAACTAATAATTTTATAACTATATGACCTCTAACCCAATGAAGAAAATAGACATGGGAACCGATACTATAGGATGAGGTGATCTCACCATGTAGATGGGAAAAATCAGGAACTGTCAGCATGAGACCAGGTCAGGGTGACCTTGTACCAGACAGTAAGAGAACAGGAACCCATCATATAGCTGACAACTTATTTTTATTCTTTTCTGGGAACATGTACACACACTAACTTTTACTCTTTTCTGGGAACATGCGCACACACACTAACTAGAGCAGAAGACAAAATCTGTTGTGGTCACGTAGGTGGAAAGTACCGAAAGAGGGGGGCCAACACCCCAGAAGGCCTATAAACGTACAGGACTGATGCTGATGTTTTGAGCTTCTCCCTGTACATGCTGAATGTATGTCAGATGGTTGCTCCCAGATTGCAATCTGTCAGAGAATAAACTGGTGACCTGCAACTACTCCTCGACTGTGCAGTGAATCTCTTCTCATCAACGGACTCCAGCGGAGTTGTGACTCCAACACATGTCTGCTAGATATCTGATGGGTTCTTGCGAAGTGTTGGTGACTCCGTCAGGTCGCATTGTGAACAGATATCACATAACGATCGAGTGCCGATTTGCTGTCGCTGATCGCACACCAATTTGCCTCCAATATGGGGGCTTTGTCTGTAATTTGCAAAAACTGTCGTCGAGCAGAAAATCAGGGCTAAAACCGTGTACTGCAGTGTGAACTTAGCATTAGCTATACTGGAAGCTGGCATTTAGAACATAAGAACATAAGAACATAAGAACTATACAAACGAGAGGCCATTCGGCCCATCGAGCTCGCTTGGGGAGAACTTAACTAATAGCTCAGAGTTGTTAAAATCTTATCTAGCTCTGATTTAAAGGAACCCAAGGGTTCAGCATGCACTACATTATCAGGAAGACTATTCCATACTCTGACTACACGCTGTGTAAAGAAGTGCTTCCTTAAATCCAGTTTGAAATGT